TATCCTGGTGGTCCAGCGGTTGGCGTTCCCCGGTCACAGTCATGGGCTCGTGGGACGTGGGTTCGAATCTTGGCGGGTTGAGGTGTTATATATATATATATATATATATATATATATATATATATATATATATATATATATATATATATATATATATCCTAACTAGATACAAACTAAAACATGAGGAACAGGGGCAAAGAGGAGCCAGAGAAAACTAAGCCATCTACTTCTCTCTGTTATGGTACGACGTATGATTAAGGAACCCGGGTTAGGTAGAGGTCCTTAGGGCGAGTCACTGATCCAGTACAGAAGATGAGAGTGAACTGCCTTTCAGGGCCCTCGTCACCTTGGTGGTTCACGGGAGAGGCTAGACTCTAGAGAGTCTAGAGTGTTGTGGTAGAGGCTACGGAGACGTGGCAGAGTTGTTGTTGGGGCTTCTGACGCTTGCTCCAACGTCATGATGCGGCCAGGTAGTGTTGACCCCCAGATGGCGTTGACCCGGGCGGCAAGGTGGTGATGTTACTGACCCCCAGATAGCTTTGACCCAGGCGGAGGGACGTGACAGTATACTGACAAATAATTCAGTATATACTGACATATAATTCAGTATATACTGACACATAATTCAGTATATTGTACCACAAAATTCAGTATATTTTGACACATAATTCAGTATATACTGGCACATAATTCAGTATATAATGACATATTTCCATATATATATTACTACATATATCAGTATTTACTGACTCATAATTCAGTATATATTACCACATTGTTTAATATATAACGATACATTGTTATTTACATGATGGCACATAATTCAGTATATACTGACACATAATTCGGAATACACTTCCACATAATTCAGTGTTTACTAACACATAATTTAGTTTCTAATACCACCTAATTCAGTATATACCGACACATAAATCAGTATGTACTACCACATAATTTCGTATAAACTGAAACATCATTCAGTATATAGTGACACATAATTCAGTATATGCTGATACATAATTCAGTATATAGTACCTCATAATTCAGTATATAGTACCACATAATTCAATATATACTGAGGCATAATTCAGTATGTAGTACCACATAATTCAATATAACTGACACCTAATTCTGTATATAGTACCTCATAATTCAGTATATAGTGACACATAATTCGGTATATAGTACGACATAATTCAGTATATACTGACTCATAGTTCAGTATATGGTGACACCCAGTAAGGTCTTCCTAACGTGGTCGAAAACATAATCACAGTTCAAAGCCGAAATAAATTATATATCCTATTATGGTCGTTGCATGGATTGTCTGGTCCCTTCTTGATACAGGCGCACATTACTGTGACAAAGAGCTGGCTTAGTATAACATCGACATACAGTAGTAGCCATTAGTGAATACCGGCTCCCAGACGAGGGTCGACTCACAGAACCGGCTATACCTTCTTCTGGAATGGCAATCTTGCTGCAGAAAGAAACCGCATTTTTGGAGTTGGCTTTGCCATTCGCCAATCCATCCTACATAGGCTAACTGGAATGCCTATTGGGGTCAATGTGCACCTCATGACTCACGAAGTTCCACTGAATAACTCATGGCATGCCTTCTTCATCATTACATATACCCCAACACTGGATGCAGAGGATGATATCAAAGAGGCCTTTTATGTCGACCTTGACATGTTTTTTGTTTTTGTTTTTTAATGGAGATTAGCCCACCCGGACACGGGTCATGGGGGCGGCAAATAGGAAAAAAATATGAATAAAAAATAATTAAATAATTAGAAAACACTACTACTAATAATAATAGTAATAATAATAATAATAATAATAATAATAATAATAATAATAATAATAATAATAATATGAATAAAAAAATAGTAATAATGATAATAATAATAAATAAATATATAAATAAAAATAAACCAGATCAAGAGTGAGAAATGATATATACTCTATATGTTGCGTTGTTAAAGCAAGAGAAACAAGTGATACTATGCATTTTGTGCAAATGCGGCAGAAAGTCTCTCAGATAAGCAACCTTATGGAATCCCAGCCGAGGTGTATAAAGCAGGAGGTTCTCTCCTGGAGGCTATATGGGAAAAGAGGAAATCCCCCCAAGCTCTTAAAGACACCTCCATCGTCAATATTTAAAAGAACAAGGGAGACCAGTCGGACTGTGGCAACTATCGCAGGATCTCACTGCTGTCTGTAGCTGGCAAGATTAACGCCCGAGTCCCCATAAACAGAATTTTTCCTGAGGCGGAAAACTTCCTCCCAGAATCTCAATGTGGCTATAGACCATCACGTGGCACCTCTAAAATGATCTTTGCTGCCCGCCGGATACAGAAAAAGTGCAGAGAACAGCGTTGTGACTTGTACAATTGCGCTCAGAAGTTCATTATACACCCGCTGTGGGAGGGCACATAGCCTGTTGCACCGTTCCTGGACGACAGGTCATTATGCCGAACCTCCCACCAACACACAGTGGAGACCGAAAACGGAATAGTTTGATTTGAACGAAGACCCATCCCAAAAAGATGGGAAGGCTATTAATATGAATATCGGCCAACGCTAATGCTGATGGATCATAAATATGCATTGATATCTTGCTTACAAGAAGACGGAAACCATAGTGAAAGGAGTATCCATTCCAATATTAGAATACAATGTGTTAATCGGTATCGCATGAACACTATAAGAAGTAGCTGAACAGAGCTCATATATCAGTAGTCTTCAATGTATTCATTACATTCTATTTTTCCATATAACTCTCTCTCTCTCTTTATTTATCTATTTATCTGTATATATACATCTAACTGTGACCTCTCTGTTATGGAAACATTAAATGTCGCAGACAAGGGAGGAAAGAAACTCCTATGGACAACTGTGCGTACAGTTATAATTAACCTATTTTCAGCTGCACTTCTTATTTAAATACAAAGTCTAAAAGTTAAATGCATTGTTTCTTTCTTTTAAACTTTCCTTCTCTGGTACTGTTTATATATTTTGTATCAATCCATTGGTGTCTTTAGCTGAAGTTATAAGTAATATTATTTTCAATGTGGGATACTGAGATGGAGTATGTGGAATCACAAAGTTTCAGCTTGTGAGGGGTGAGAGGTAAGATGAGGGAGCGAGGAGTCAGCGAAGCTCCATCTAGCTGCACCTTGATATTAACTAATAGGCGTGAGGAAAATGACGCCGTACCAGGTGTGTTTTACTGAGTTAGGTTACCCTTCGATATCATACTTAGTTAAACTTAAGCAACATAAATTTTTCTTTCACATGTAATCTAAAAGAGCAGTCCTCACTGACGACCTACTATCGTTTGTGATCACTGTTATAACCAACACTAATGGACCAGACGGATAATACAAGAGACTCGATAAGAAATGAAAACATGGATGCGGTTATAGCTAGGGAAAATGTTCGTATATCAGTTTCTCAGACAAAATCTGTAAGGTGTAATGTGTATGAAGAAGGTAACCCGAGGATGGTGGCGCACGATCTCTATATAAAGACAAACACTTTATAAACGAGTTTCAGCTAAATTCGTTCACTAGTTTCAGAGTGTCAGGTTACTCGTTGGCGATCGAGATGGCGCTGGAACAGGCCTATTGTGTAGGTATTTGTGTTATAACGTATTTGTGTATCAAACGTCAAAAATGTAAGCTGTGGTCATTAAATTATAGTATCTATCTGTCTGTTTCTATCGAGTATCTATTTGTGTGTCTGAAGAGTCAAAGGGTAGTTGCCTTTACTACTTTCCTCTGATATTAGTAATTTATTGGTATCATATATATTGAATACAAATAATGGGGGATACATTTTAATAAATGAACCTTTTAAATTTATTATATCATAATCATCATCACCCGCTAATAATCCCTTTCAGCAGGAAAGATATAAACAAGAATGTTAGTTTGGGTTGGTGTCCGCCATGCAACTCACAATAACACGAATAGATTATACGGATATATTTTAATCCTCTGCATATTGTGTTTGTATAAATTATAGTCTGCAAATTATTGGTTACCAATATCTATTTAGCTGTAATAAAACACTCACACTTTAGAAGGACAAATGAATTATATTTTCCACATTATCATCTAATACCTCGTCCAGCCTCCCCCTTCTCATTTTTTTTTGAGGGGACCAGCCCACCCGGGCTCAGGTCAACGACCCAAATCAGGGCCTGTGGGCGAAGATATAATAATAATAATAATAATAATAATAATAATAATAATAATAATAATAATAATAATAATAATAATAATAATAATAATAATAAAGAACCACAAATAAAGGCAAAATGAAAAGAAAAGGAAAGATCAATAGAGAGAAAAAATATATGTACAGAGGTATGTTGTGTTGTCAAAGTAAGAGAAACAATTGAAACCCTGCAATTGTGTGTAAATGAGACAGAAAGTCAGATTTTTGTGATGCCAAATGGCAGCAGGGTCTACCATTAAACAACACATGGAGTGAGAATGCTGAAAGGTGTGAATGATTAGAGAGGCAACCTACAGTATCTGACATGGAAGACACACGGTCACGAATAAACTCTGGCCTACGCCTGCACAGTTCCCACTGGGCGTGTACGTGATTCTGGAGTTGATTGGCTTTTCCTCTCGTCTGTTGGCTCCCAAGTGTAGTGAGCTGCCGTCCAGGAAGGGTGCAACAGGTTATGCACCCTCCGCCGCCAGTGTATATCGAATTTCTGAATGGAGCTGTACATGGCCTTTATCATCCTTACTAAGGCCTTCAACTCGGTCAACAGGGAAGCCCTCTGGCGGACCATCAGCAGTTTTGAATACCCAACAAAATTCATCGCTATTGTGAGGCATCTCCACGATGGCATGGGCAGCAGTGTCCTGCACAGTGGCACCCAGTCTGAGTCATACTCTGTTCAAATGACAGCAAATTATAAGTATTAGTAGTATTAGTAGTGTGATTTAATATGTGGTATTTTGGCTATTTTGCAGGTACTTCAAAGGAGACAAGATGGTGATTGTCAGTCTAAGACCGCTACAACCTGGCGACCTGGTGGCCGAAAATTATGGCCCCATCTTCACCCACCATCCCCGTCACGAGCGACAACGGAAGCTCTTATCTCGCTACTGGTTCAGGTTACTACATGGTCTCTCTCTCTCTCTTTAATTATCGTTGCCTCTTCTTTTATGTCTTTCATTGTCTCATTTATTTCACTTTATCGCTGTCTCTCTTTCTGATTTATTTGTCATTATCACTTTCTCTGTCTGTACATCGTTGTTTATATTTGTCTGTCTCCCATTGTCTCTTTCTCATTACTTTTGTTTCTATCTCTCCACATCACTTGTTTCGGTAACTCTCTCTTTGTTTATATCTCTCAGTCTGCCTTTACCTCTCACAGTTTTCTTGCTTCTCTCTTTCTATGTTTTCTTTGTCTTTCGCTAAGTGTTTTTCTTCCTATCTCCCATTGCTGTGTCTCTTTCACCCTTTGTTTTTCTCTATCTCTGTTTATATAACTTTTCTCTGTGAACGAGCACCCTGGTGTTCGGCAATTCTAGCCCCCAGTTGTCTTTTAGTTTGACCACCGTATACGTCAGTCACATTACTGCGATTGCACTTAAATAAATAAACAACTGACGACTGTAATTCACTAGGATCGCTCATTTAGAACACACCATTTATTGTTAAACCACCTTACTCAGCATTCAGAGGTCATAGCCGGATATCCGATCGCCCTTAAAACAGGGCAAACTTTACAATCCAAATTAAGACCTGATTTTACTTTTCTTGTTTTAACAGAGGGCGGGAGGCAGTTTATTTTCCCAGTCTGTTTACTTTCAGATGATGTGCAAACAGTTAACAGGCTGATAAGTTTGTGGATATTGGTACTTGTCTTAGTTTCGGAGATTTGGAAGTGGAGGAATACAATATGACACAACATGCGCCTAACCACTGGTTGTAAAGCAGGAGCCGGTGTCGAGGATGGTGCAGAATTTTCTCACCAAACTTGCATATGAGGTCGCGGTGATAGTCAGAGAGAGCCGAGAGAGTCAGTGTGTTGAGCGTTTTTTGATATGTGGAGTAGTAAGGGGAGAGAATAATTTTGCATGGCCTCTTTTGCACTTTTTCTAGGTGTTTACCTAGTGTGGCATTTAGGGAGGAAGACCAGGCAAGGGAGGCATTGGTGAAATGGGAAGTATGAATGTTGAGTAAACACTGAGGAGCTCGGGCGCAGGAACTCCGAAGGATTTGAATTGTCGGAGGAGGTGGAAATGAAAACTGGAGGATTTGACAACTGTACTGACGTATGTTTTCAAATTTAGTTCGTTATCTATAGTGACGCCGAGGAGCTTAGTGGAGTTCCACAACCTGGAATGTGTTGGGGCCTGAAGTAATGGAGGAAGTTGGGACAAGATCAAAGGAAAGGTTATGTGCATAACCATGGTCTTGGTATGGTTGATGGTAACGTGGTTGTTGGTGGCCCAATTTTGGAGACTGTTCAATAAATTCTGGAGGGCGTTGTAGTCGGGAGCCGAAATATTGACACTGATCCCAATGGCAGAGTTGTCGACATAATTCCAGCCAGTAGTGGTTTCTCTTTGGGCATCATTGATAAGCAGAGCGGTCCAATTTTGGTGCCTTGGGGAACGCCAATGGTGAGTGAGTGAAAAGTGGAGACAGCCCCTCGGAAGCGTAAGGCTTGGCGTCGGTCACTAAGAAAGTCTGTAAGCCATGGTATGACTTCGAAACCTGAGGTCCATAGCTTTGTTGAATAATTTGTAGACGACAAAGTCAAATGCTTTGGTGAAGTCAGTGAAGGCGACAGCCACAGACGTCTTTCGTTTTTCCAGATGGTGGTATATGTAGTCGAGAAAGCTGATAAGACAATGAGTGGTGGAGGAAATTTTCATATTGCCATATTGCTGAGGAGCTATGGCGCCTGCAATATCAGCATAAGCCCAGTCAAACACGAAACTTTCGCAGATGAAGCTGGATATTTGGGTAATGGCAATGGATTATGGGCTTGTTGACTTGGGCACTGGTGACACGCATGAGGTCCTTCAGTCAGCTGGGCATCTTGATTGGCTGAGGGAAGCACTGATGGAGCAGAGGGGTTTAACTAGTTTCGGGGAGAACGCCCTGTAGAGTTTCATTGGTAAATCATTGGGGGTGGTGGAGAGCTTTAACTTCAGCTTGTCCAGACGTTTGGTACTTCAAATTCTTCTACTAAGTCAGTGTGTAAGGGGGCTGGTAGGTAAATATGGAGACTGGTTGTGTCAAGCAGGGGGAGCGTCTGACATATAGTTTCGAAATGGTAGTTTGATTGTTCGCCTGCATTATCTTTAGTGAGATGGCTAAGGAAGGGGAGGGGATGTGTCTTGTTGTTTAGTCCACAGAGTTCTTTAAGCTTACCATACCACTGATTGATATTGGTCTGCTTCAGGTGTTGCAACTTGGTTGGGTAGTGAGACTTCTTTGCAGTGCGTATTTCACAGATGACTTGGTTGCAAAGAGACCAGTATCGGTTGTGGTCATTGAGATGAAAGGCGCTGTCTCTCTGTTGCATAACTCTTTTGATACGAGGTGTGATCCAGGGCAAGTCAGCTGGGTATTATCTCCTGTCACGATCATATATCTCCTGTCATGACATGAGCCTCTGTCTTCTGTCATGATCCTTTGTCTCCTGGCATGATCCTGTCTCCTATCATGTTTTCCTGTCTAATATTATGATCCTCGGTCTCCTGTCATGATCCCCGTCTTCTGTCATGATGATCTATCTCCTGTCATGAACCTTTGTCTCCTGGCATCATCATCTGTCTCCAGTCACGATGCTCTGTCTCCTGTCATGAGCCTCTATCTTCTTTCATGATTCTATGTCTTCTGTCATGATCCTCTGTCTCCTGTCATGATCCTCTGTCTCCTGTCATGATCCCCTGTCTATTAATATGATCCTCTGTCTCCTGTCATGATCCCCTGTCTATTAATATGATCCTCTGTCTCCTGTCATGATCCTCTGTCTCCTGTGATAATCCCCTGTCTATTAATATGATCCTCTGTCTCCTGTCATAAGCCTCTGTCTCCTATCATGATCCTCTGTCTCCTATCATGATCATCTTTCTCCTGTCATGATCCTCTGACTCCTGTTATGATCCCCTGTCTATTATTAAGATCCTCTGTCTCCTGGCATAACCCTCTGTCTCCTGTCATAAGCCTCTATCTTCTGTCATGATTCTATATCTTCCCTCATGATCCTCTATCTCCTGTCATGATCCTGTGTCTTCTGTCATGAAGAGCTATCTCCTGTCATGAACTTCTGTCTCCTGGCATCATCATCTGTCTCCAGTTACGATGCTGTCTCCTGTCATGATCTTGTGTCTGCTGTTATGATCCGCTGTCTATTATTATGATCCTCTGTCTCCTGTCATAAGCCTCTGTCTCCTGTCATGATCTTCTGTCTCCCGTCATGATCCTACGCCTCCTGACATGATCCTCTGTCTCCTGTCATGCTCCTCTGTCTTCTATCATGATCCTCTATCTCCTGTTATGATGCTGTCTCCTGTCACAACCATCTGTCTCCTGTCGTGATCCTCTGTCTGCTGTTATGATCCTCTGTCTCCTGTCATGACCCTCTGTCTCCGGTCATGAACCTGTCTCCTGTCAGGATCCTCATTCTTCTGTTAGGACCATCTGTCTCCTGGCATGATTCTCTGTCTCCGGTCATGATACTCTGTCTCCTGTCATGATCATCTGTCTCCTCTCATGATTATCTCTCTCCTGTCACGATCCTTTGTCTCCCGACATGATCCTATCTTCTGTCATGAAACTCTATCTCCTGTCATGATCCTCTGTCACCTGTCATGATCCTCTGTCTCCGCTCATGATCATCTGTCTCCTGTCATGAGCCTCTGTCTCCCGATGTGATCCTATCTTCTGTCATGATCCACTGTCTCCTGTCATGATCATCTGTCTCCTGTCATGATCCTTTGTCTCCCGATATGATCCTATCTTCTGTCATGATCCTCTGTCTTTTATCATGATCATCTGTCTCCTGTCATGATCCTTTGTCTCCCGATATGATCCTATCTTCTGTCATGATCCTCTGTCTCCTATCATGATCCTCTGTCTCCTGTCATGATCCTCTGTCTCCTATCATGATCCTCTATCTCCTGTTATCATGGTGTCTCCTGTCGTGATCCGCTGTCTCCCGTCATGATCCTCTGTCTCCTGTCATGAAACTCTGTCTCCTGTCATGAACTTTTGTCTTTAGTCATGGTCATCTGTCTCTTGTTATGATCCTCTGTCTTCTGTCATGATCCTCTGTCTCCAATCATGATCCTCTGTCACTTGTCATGAGCCTCTGTCTCCCGTCATGATCATCTGTCTCCTGTCATAATCCTCTGTCTCCTGTCATGATCCTCCGTTTCCTGTCATGATCCTGTGACTTCTGAAATGACCTTCTGTTTCCTCTTGTCATGATCATCTGCCTCCTGTCATGATCCTTTGTCTCCCGACATGATCCTATCTTCTGTCATGAAAATCTGTTTCCTGTCTTGATCTTCTGTCTCCAGTAATGATCATCTGTCTCCTATTATGATCATCTGTCTCCTATCATGATCCTTTGTCTCCCGACATGATCCTATCGTCTGTCATGAAACTCTGTCTCCTGTCATGATCCTCTGTCTCCTGTCATGATCCTCTGTCTCCTATCATGATCCTCTATCTCCTGTTATCATGGTGTCTCCTGTCGTGATCCGCTGTCTCCTGTCATGATCATGATCCTCTATCTCCTGTTATCATGGTGTCTCCTGTCGTGATCCGCTGTCTCCCGTCATGATCCTCTGTCTCCTGTCATGAAACTCTGTCTCCTGTCATGAACTTTTGTCTATAGTCATGGTCATCTGTCTCTTGTTATGATCCTCTGTCTCCTGGCATCATCATCTCTCTCCAGTCATGATCCTCTGTCTCCTGTCATGATCCTCTGTCTCCTGTCATGAAACTCTGTCTCCTGTCATGATCTATTGTCTTTAGTCATGGTCCTCTCTCTCTTGTTATGATCCTCTGTCTCCTGTCATGATCCTCTGTCTCCCTTCACGATCCTCTGTCTCCTGTCATGAAACTCTGTCTCCTGTCATGGTCC